TAATTTTAATAAAAATGAATAGAAAGGATATTTTTTAAAAAGAAAATTAATTGTTGTTATTACTCCATATAATCTAAATATTTCTATTTATTTTAATAAAAATGAATAGAAAGAATATTTTTTTAAAAGAAAATTAATTGTTGTTATTACTCCATATAGTCTAAATATTCCTATTTATTGAAGTTAATGGTAATTATAAAAGAAGAAAGATTCTTTTTAAAAAACAAAAAAAATTTAAAAATGCAAAAAAGGCAGGAGATTTTACTCTCTTTGCCGTATTTAATCCCCCTGCTTGAAAGTTGTAACGTAACAAAACCCTAAAAGGGTTCTTGTAAGAACCTATCAGCCGCCGGATTGATCTTAGCCGTCGAACTCTCCCTATAACGCCCTAAGTGTCCTACTTTCTTCTTTGATCTCAGCTCAAAGTTTTGAGCTTTTTCCTCAACACTTTCATCTGGGTTCCTAGCTATTCTTCTTTGCTATTGATGGTGTCACTAGCCAACATGGTTCGGTAATTTGCTTTCTCTTAATTCTTGTAACTAAAATTTGAAAGGAATGATTTTTCCATGTTTTGATTATTGTTTCTTTTTTCTTGATTAATTTTATGGTTTCAGATTGAGGATGACACTCTTTTTTTGGGTGAGTTTTGGTATGGGGGGAGCTTAAAGTTAGCATCTTCAAGGTGTAAATATGGGTTTTAACTGTATTAACAATCAAAGTTTCAATTTTGGCGGTGGGTTTAGGCTCTAGGTTAGATTAATGTTTCTAGGTAGTTATCTCGTTTTGTAGTTTGGTAAAGGGTAGCGATCAATTAGGGTTTTGGATAATGTTATCTGAATTGGGTCGTAGGCCAATGATAGGAGGTAACGAGGGATCATTTGGGGATGATCTGGAGAAGGAGATAGGACTGTTGGTCCGTGAACAGCGGAGACAAGAGGTTGATGATCTTGAACGGGAGCTCAACTTGTACAGAAGCGGCTCTGCCCCTCCAACTGTGGAGGGTTCACTGAGTGCGGTCGGTGGGTTGTTTGGTGGTGGACCTGCCTTCTCAGCCTTTTCTGGAGCTAAAAATGGAAATAGGTATGTGTCTGAGGAGGAGCTGAGGTCGGATCCAGCTTATCATTCATACTATTACTCAAACGTAAATCTCAATCCAAGGCTGCCACCTCCTTTGCTATCAAAGGAGGATTGGAAGTTTGCACAAAGGTTGAAGGGTGGGAGTTCAGTGGTAGGTGGGATTGGAGATAGGAGGAAAGGGAATAGGGCTGATAATGGTGGCAGCAGATCACTGTTTTCCATGCCACCAGGGTTTGATTCCAGGAAACAAGAGAGTGAAGTTGAGGGAGAGAAAGTGCATGGCTCAGCAGAGTGGGGTGGTGATGGACTGATTGGTTTGTCTGGTATAGGACTTGGAAGCAAACAAAAGAGCCTTGCTGAAATTTTTCAGGTGAATAAAAACTGTGGTTTATTTTGTTTTTGCTAATGAATTCCACTTTTCCATAGCATGCGATTTTTGATCTTGTGCATCGTTTGCTAGTTAGTCTTTCTAACCTGGATTGTTATTGTTATTATTATTATTATTATTATTATTATTTTGTAACTTCCTCTTTATCTCCATCTTGATCTTTGGACACTTAAGTGAATTTGATATCCTTTGAGTGCATGGTCAATGGATTAAAATCCAGCTATGGTGATGCGTGTCCTGGAGGGTTGTGGATGTGATTTTTGGCTTTTGTCCCTGGCATCCTATAAATTGTGTATCTTTGAGCTGACTGGGCTATTGGATAGGAAACCATGTTTCTTGGTTGTTCAAATTTGTTATGTCTTATTTTCAGTTAGCTAATCTCTCTAATTCTGTTGAATATTAGTTAATGATGTATTTTGTTACACTGTATTCATATTAGTTTATACATTGTTTTTGTTGCTTTGAAGATTGTACTTTGCAGGACTTAATTTTTGCTGCCCCCTTCTCTTTTAGAGGAGGTGGACTGGTGCGAGTGAAATCCAGCTATGAATCTTTGACCATTGCTCCTCAAGGAGATTGGTGTTTTAGATATTGAAATGTCTGCTATGAGCTGTTAAGAATCTATCAGTTGTTCTTCAAAATCAGTCATGGAATTTGTTGATTTGAGTTACGAGTCCTACTGTTCTTATCTCACTTTTGACTGTTCATGCTTTGTGGTCTTATAGCTTTGAGTCTCTATGCAGGATGACTTGGGGCGTGTAACTCCAGTACCGGGAAATCCTTCACGTCCTGCTAGTCGTAATGCCTTTGATGAAAACTTTGAGAATGTGGCTTCTGCTGAAGCTGAGTTGGCTCATATGCGACGTGAATTGAGTTCTAAAGATTTAAGATCAAGTGCAAGTGGTCAGGGCTCATCCACAGTCCACACTGTTGGGCCACCTTCTTATACTTATGCTGCTGCTGTTGGTGCTTCTTTGTCTAGAAGTAACACCCCTGATCCCCAACTTGCGGCTAGGGCTCCTAGTCCTTGCCCAACACCAATTGGAGGAGGTCGAGTTGGAACATCAGAGAAGAGAGGTGTGAACAGTCCAAGCACATTTAGTGGTGTGTCGTCTGGTGTCAATGACCATGCAGATTTGGTAGCTACTCTATCAGCCATGAACTTGTCATCAAATGGTGTGATAGACGAAGAGAATCTGCTACCATCACAGATTGAGCAGGATGTTGAAAATCACCAGAGTTATTTGTTTGCTCTGCAAGACGGCCAGAATCCAGTTAAGCAGAATGTATACTTAAAGAAGTCTGAATCTGGGCATATACAAATGTCATCAGGCAAGAATAATGGGGCACGGTCAGAGCTGAGAAATCCATCATTGCTGGCTGATAGGCAAGCTGAACTTCAGAAGTCAGCTGTTCCTTTGAATACTTCTTACTTGAAAGGATCGCCTACATCCACTCTAAATGGGGGAGGCAGCTTACCTGCTCAGTATCAGCATTTGGAAGGCACAAATTCATCTTTTCCAAACTATGGTTTAAGCGGATACTCCTTAAATCCTGCTTTGGCCTCTGTGATGGCTAGCCAACTTGGGACTGGTAATCTGCCGCCATTGTTTGAAAATGTTGCGGCTGCATCACCTATGGGAGTACCTGGATTGGATTCCAGATTGTTAGGAGGTGGTTTAGTCTCTGGACAAAATATATCAGCTGCTGCATCTGAAACTCACCATCTTAATAGAGTGGGCAGCCAAGTTGCTGGCAATGCTATTCAAGCACCTTTTGCTCTTAATGATCCTATGTATCTTCAGTATCTGAGGACATCTGAGTATGCTGCACAGCTTGCAGCTCTTAATGATCCTTCAATGGATAGAAACTTCTTGGGTAATTCGTACATGAACTTGGTTGAGCTCCAGAAAGCTTATCTTGGTGCTCTTTTATCACCCCAGAAATCGCAGTATGGTGTCGCATTGGGTGGCAAGTCCAGCAGTTCAAATCATCATGGTTTTTATGGAAGTCCCACATATGGTGTTGGCATGTCTTTTCCTGGTAGCCCTCTAGCAAGTTCTGTCATTCCAAATTCTCCAGTTGGACCTGGTAGTCCTATCAGACATGGTGAGTTGAATATGCGTTTTCCTTCTGGAATGAGGAACTTGGCTGGGGGTGTTATAGGGCCCTGGAACTTGGATGGGGGCATGGATGGAGGTTATGCATCTTCTTTGCTTGAAGAATTTAAAAGCAATAAAACAAAGTGTTTTGAGCTTTCAGAAATTGTGACTCATGTTGTTGAGTTCAGGTATATGGAGTGCTCAATTCATCCACTTGCATGTTATTATGATGTCATCTCACCTAAAGTAAATTTTCAACCATTGTTTTTGGCAGTGCGGATCAGTATGGAAGCCGTTTCATCCAGCAAAAACTTGAAACAGCAACTATTGAAGAGAAAAATATGGTTTATGAGGAAATCATGCCTCAGGCACTGGCCTTGATGACTGATGTGTTTGGTAATTATGTCATTCAGAAGGTATTTGATGTTCTTAAGCTGTTGCTTATTATTACCTGGCTGTATGATTGTCATAGAATCTGTTTGCTAACTTTTTTTTTTTTTTTTTGGTTAGTTTTTTGAGCATGGACTTCCAGCCCAGAGAAGGGAGCTTGCTGGCAACCTTTTTGGTCATGTTTTAACTCTGAGCCTTCAAATGTATGGTTGTCGGGTGATCCAGAAGGTATATCATGTGGTTCCCTACCTTTCTGGACTTCGTTTGTTTATAATTTGTGTTTCCAATTCTTACCCTTATCATTGTTAGGCTTAATCCTAAATTTTTTATGATGATGGTATGTATATATTTAATAAGTTTCGCTAGATTTAATTATACTTATCTTTCTCATTGCAGCTGATGATTTCAACAAAAAGTATGAAAAAAAAAACCTCAATTTTTTAGTTCATTATTTACATAAATCATTATACTGTAACATGCACCATTCTCATACTTTTGTTATACACATTATAATAATAGTGGATAATTTGGTAATTACCATACAGCATTTTCACTTTTTCCTTTCTGGAATGTGTTCATGGTAATTGAGAGAAAATAATGATTGAATTACTTTTACTGAGTGGCTATTGCTCTGATTTCTGACTGTTATATGTTTTAAAATATTCAAGGCAATAGAAGTTGTTGATCTTGACCAGAAGATAAAAATGGTTCAAGAGCTTGATGGTCATGTCATGCGCTGTGTACGTGACCAGAATGGAAACCATGTCATTCAGAAGTGTATTGAGTGTGTTCCTGAAGAAAATATTCAGTTTATAGTCACAACATTCTTTGATAATGTTGTGAACCTTTCCACACATCCATATGGATGCCGTGTGATCCAGGTTGGGAAATTGTTTCTTAATGGTTTGGCTCTGGGGATTTTCTTTTACCATATGTATATTTGTGTTAAGGAAGAGTGACTTGTGTTTTATGTAATATAATCCTTTCACATGGCAGAGAATACTGGAGCACTGCAAGGACCCAAAGACTCAGAATAAAGTTATGGATGAGATTTTAGGATCTGTTAGCATGTTGGCCCAAGACCAGTATGGCAATTATGTTGTTCAGGTCTGCAGTCTTTTCTTTAGACCTCTGATTGAATGCTCTTTTGTGCTTCTTTTGTTGTTATAGGGGTGATCTGAATGACTTTTTTTACATTATACATGTTCTGAATTTTCTATTTTGTACCCATTTACTGTTGAAGTGAGTTCTGATTTCTTTTGCTGGTGATTTTGTTACATTAACATGTGAGTTCATTCCCTCTAGCCTTGCATCTGATGACCTTCTATAATCCATCCCTTCTATCTTTTGATTGCTTTTGCTTTGCTATCCCTTGCTACTTCTTCAAGTGGAATAATACTTTTGTCTTTTAACTTCATTAAAATGGTGCCTTAAATTTTCTTATTCTTCGCTGTTTTTGTCTATCCACAATGTGTGTATTTATTTTGCTGATCCATTGCATTTATTTGTTTAACAGCATGTGCTGGAGCATGGAAAGCCTCATGAGCGCTCAATTATCATAAAGGAATTAGCTGGGAAGATAGTTCAAATGAGTCAGCAGAAATTTGCCTCTAATGTTGTAGAGAAGTGTTTAACTTTTGGTGGTCCTACTGAACGTCAGTTACTGGTGAATGAAATGCTTGGTACCACTGATGAGAATGAGCCTCTACAGGTTTGTCAGTTTTTATGCAAAATTTCTAACTTTTGTGCCTTCTAATTTCAACTATTTGCGCTGGGAACAAAATTTCCAAATTATTTCATTAGCCTTCTGAATAATTAGAGAAAACCCATGAACCCCCCCTTCTATTTTTCTTGGTTGGTATTGTTTGTGTCTGTGATTATTTGTCAAGGTGACTATTTTGCATCACTGACCAAATTGTCGATGTTTATTTGGGAGGCACCTATTAATTGTCTGCTTGAGAATTGAGATGTCAAAACTTGTATGATTTTTCAGAAGTTCTTATTTCTTGCTTGCTTCATTAGGAAGTCAGGTGCTTTCTGCAGGCTATGATGAAGGATCAGTTTGCAAATTATGTTGTGAATGTATCCCATTTATTTGGCTGATATATGAGGTGATGCTTGACCAAGGTGCAACATCTTTTTGTTCTTTGTATGGTTTCTACAGGCTATGATGAAGGATCAGTTTGCTAATTATGTTGTGCAAAAAGTATTAGAGACTTGTGATGACCAGCAACGTGAGCTGATCCTGTCACGAATCAAAGTCCATTTAAACGCATTGAAGAAGTACACTTATGGGAAGCATATTGTTGCTCGTGTAGAGAAACTTGTTGCTGCTGGGGGTACTGATTCTTTCCTTCATGTCCTTTCTTGCTAAGAGGTTTTCTTTCGAGTAAACATGTTAATTTTTCAAAAAGTGTGAAGTCTGCTAACACTTTCTGCTGCATCATTTTTCAGAAAGGAGAATTGCTGCTCAGTCTCCACAGCCTGCATCGATGGCATAGGATAAGGAAAGAAAGTTGCCTGTACAGCTAACTGAGGCTAGTGTGAGTTTCCTTCTTTCTTTCCCGTATTTAGAGGTATGGTTTATCATTCTCTACCTATGTTTTTAGGCAGGTATGAGCTGTATGGAAATAATAAGTTGTTGCTTGTACTGGAAAACTGTACATTGTGTAGCTTAAGGTTTATACATAGGGTGGAGGAAACGCCAAGTTTCAGATGTTGAATACACCTGAGGCCTCTGAAGAGGAGAGATAAATGACTATACTAGTTTTTAAGGGTGTAAAAAATTAAATGGTGAGGTAGTTCATTATATCATAGCGCGACTGTACAAATGTTGCCATGTCAAGAGCAGTTGATGTTTAGGCGAGACCCTACTTGATGTATGGTTTTTTTCCCAATTAATGTATTGTTAATGACATTTTCCTTGTTTCCAGAATTGCATATTTTTCTTTCATATCAACCTGTCTAAATGCTTACATCGTATTTCATGGTTTGTTCTTTGATGGAATTGTTTTTAGCTTCAGTAAGTAAGAAATTACCATCATGGTGAATAATTGCAACTAAGAACCCCCCGAATAAAGATAGAAACAATTGATGTGTAGCCCTTTGTTATAGGGTAATGAAATTTGCAATCAAAGTGAAAAATTTTTACATGTTTTGGAACCCCTAATGATCTTCATAATCAACAAAATTTTGCCCGAATCCTCTTGCTTCCACTTTTGCGTCTGGCTTCTTCCCTTCCTTTTCTTCCCACTCTTCTTAGCTGCTGTCTCCTTCTCAGACTTTCCCCTTTCCCTCTTCTGCAAAAAATCTTGCACTACCATGTAGTGTAGATTCCCTGGAACCCAATTCAAAAGACCCCAGCTCAAAATCACAGATTTCACCGGAAAGCTCCATTCTCCAAGTTTTGGTCAGAGTATTAATCACTCCAATGGTAACAACTGATATAGGGTAGATATAATGGTTGCCCTTTGCCCCACCGTCATCTCCGGCAGACATTATCTGCTGAGAATTCTAACGTGGGGTTGAATCATAGGGCAGAACTACACCAAAAGCAGCATAAATTCTCTAAAGCCGTGTTCTTTTCTTGAAAATGGATGGCTCTTCTCGACGAGCCAGCTGCCAATAAGCAGAGAGGAATTCCAAAAGATGAATCATTGGATTTCGGATTGAAAGGGAAGTAGTCTGACCAAAGGAGATACAGGTGTAGCGGCCACAGTTCATCTGCAATCGGCGGATGCTCCTGCCTTTCCGCTGTGGCAAACTGCGCCGGTGTTTCAGATGAAGGGAACCCAGAATGGTGATGTTGCAGAGAAACACCAACACACATTGTTGAACCAATGTCCGTTGATTCAAGTGAAAAAATATCGATTTTTCTTAAAGAAAGTCTTAAATTCAAGTTTTATGAATAAAAAAATAGATAATGAGAGAGATTTCTTTACGAGATCCAATACTACTTAATTTCAAATTAGTCGAGTTTATATTAGTAAAAAAACACGCACTGAATGGAGGATTGGGTTTCTAACCCATTGTGTTTAGGCCTTAAAAACCCAACTAGAAGAGTGGATCACAAGAGAAAATTCACGACATATTAGGCTCCAATAATCACGTGACAAAGTGGACATCCCATGACTAAAATGAGAACATGCTACATACTGTTTCCTGGAATCCCTCCTCTTGGTTTTCTCCGCCGTTGGATTAAAGCGCCAGTTGATTTCGAGATCCATCATCCGGCTCACAGATCACCCCACACCTAATCCTTCGGCCGGTGCCGCCACATTTTCCTATACATCTCCCTCCATCCAGCTGTCTTCCAAAAAGTTCAAGGGCAAACTCGGCATCACAAAAATATCATTCTAATTTTACCAAAATAACCTCAAAAGTACACGTTCTTTGCTTATTTGGCAATTCCTGCTACAACCACCGCTGTCTGTTTTCGTAATCTCACCATCCACCTCGAGTATCAACTACACCCTGCTCCATCTCGGGCGATACAACGTGCCGAGATCTTATCGAGGGGAGTTAGATGGCAATGGACAGGTGTCGATGAAATAGAGAGAGTACAAAATCTGATTAAATAGAGCGAGTATGATTTGGATTTTTGGGGGGATAGAGATATTTAGAAGATCAAAAATATCTGGCTAAGTCGTCCACGTTGGCACGAGAGGCAGACCGATCTGGAATCAGATTTTTGCACTTTTTCTGCCTTTATTTTTGTCCCTCACCCGAATTTTCTCTCTTCCCAAACACTTTTCTGATTCTTCCGCTGATATTTAACCAGCTTATCTCCAGTTTACTCCTCCTTCCTGCTTTCTCGATCTCGAAATCAATTCCAAGAAATCCAGAGGGTAATTCATTAAAAGCCCTAATCTTTTTTTTTTTTTTTTCCTTTTTTTTGGGGGGGAGATAAGTATGGGGGAAGAAGTGAAGATGAATGAATACGAAAGCAACGGTGGTGATGATGTCGGGGAGGAAGAGAGAGTTTTGGAGTGGGAGATGGGGTTACCCAGCGCCGATGACCTTACTCCCTTATCCCAGCTATTGATCCCTCCGGAACTTGCATCGGCGTTTAGTATTTCTCCGGAGCCCCGCCGTTCTGTCCTTGATGTCACACGCGAGTCACGAAATACTCTCAGCTCTATCCGTACCGTTGGGACCCACTCCTCTACCAACAACGGCAATAATAATTTCCGGTCTTTTGCGGACCCGATGGTGTTGGAACCCGACGGGGACGGGTCGGGGTCTGGATCCGGATCGGATGCTAGGAAGATGCGGAAAGTGACGGTGCCGGCCGGCGATTGTGCGGAGGAAGCGGATTCTGCGGTTAGAATGGAGAATTCGGATGATCCATCGGCGAGAACGTTGAAACGGCCGCGGTTGGTGTGGACGCCTCAATTGCACAAGAGGTTCGTGGATGTGGTGGCGCATTTGGGGATCAACAACGCCGTCCCGAAGACAATTATGCAGTTGATGAACGTAGAAGGACTGACTCGAGAGAACGTGGCCAGTCATTTGCAGAAATACAGGCTGTACTTGAAAAGGATGCAAGGGTTGTCGAGCGAGGGACCGTCGTCTTCCGATCAATTATTCCACTCGGGCATGCACGAGAGCGGTGGCGGAGGGAACACAAACGGCCATGTGGGGATGCCAATACACATGCCATACGGCGCACCGATGATGCCTGTGCCGGCGCCAGTTTACAGCCATATGGGTATGCAGCAAGGTGGATACAATAATCATAATCAACAACCACCCAATGGATTTGACATGAATCCGTATGGGATAGTGCAGCAGAGAGACTGGTCGGGGAATAAGTTTGGGTCTGTGGTGTCGTATCCGCAACATGCTGCCCCTAATGATAAGCTAAATTAGCTGAATTTGTAGGGAGGTGAGTTATTATTTTCATCATTTTTCTTCTTCTGAAATCTGAATTGAGCTCTTGGATTGGATGTAATATCCCCTTAGATAATTCTTTTTCATGCGCAATGATTAAAATAAGTTATAGATTGAGCTTCAGAAAAGTTTTGTTTTAATTGCTATCTAGTGTTAAGCACCTAAGGTAAGCATTGAATTTGATCAATGGAACTTCTAGTTTCAACATATGAAAGCACCGTAGAAGTACTGAATTGATAGTAAAAATGTAGTTCCCAATTGTTCAGGTATGTCTCTTTATGGTAGTCTGTTTGCCATGGGTCCTGCTTCCAAGATTGATTCTTTTTGTTTAAGATATCTTTGGTTTTAATGTAGAATTGAAAGCAATTAAATTCTACGTTAGTGTTATGGTATCACACATGTCAATATAATCATCCATCTGGAGATTAGAAGTGACAATTTCACACATAAGGAATTATTCTGGTAATGTTAAATTCTTTTGTTGTTATCTTGTCTTTTATTGCATGAAGAGCTGCTATGTGATGTCTAATATATGATTATAATCTTGAAGATGACTAGGTTGAAAGCAGTTAATGTCGGGTTTTAGTATATGCTCGTTATGATAATTCTAACTCCATTCTTCTCTTGTAAGTATTGGAGCTTGCATTATCTTTGAACTATGTGCTTTAAAAGTTTAAGCTGCTGTTTAATGCTTGAGCACTTCCCAAATCTCAACTATTATTCCTATGTATTAGAAATTCAGAATTTATATATCTATTTCCAACCTTTTGATGGTTCATTAGCCATTTCATTGGAGTTAATTTATTTTATTAAATTTCATATTTTAGCATATTTGGATTCTATCTTTTTCCTTCCTTTCTTTCTTCTTCCCTATACTGGCTTTTATAATTATTGTAGTCAGATGTGTAAACTCACCCTTTTTGAAGGGATGCTTCAGATTGCTCTTCATTATACTGATAATGATATTACAGATTTTCCTTCTGTAGCTATGGCCAAAAAGGGGGTTTTCACTATATTATTGATCGTGATGCTTCCTTTTTCTGGCCAGTAAAGTGTTTGCTTCAAAATTTTTACCATGTATCCTTTGTTTTTCTGTGGTTCCAGAAATTTTGAGCAACTATACAAGTAATTATTGGGATTGGCTGGGTTCACGTTGACATGGGAGCACAGAATGGTTTCTCATGAAGTATGTGTAGATATTTCAGTGGAGTATTTAGATATGGATCCTACATAAATGAAATCAGGCAAGCTTCTGATGGTTAGCTTTCTTGACTCACCTGATGAAAGCAGCATATAAACTTGTAATCTACCTACGATCATTGTCTAATGGCAGCAAGAAGTACCCACAGCATTTACTCCTGGTCTACCTATATTGGATAATGCCACAAAAGGACATTCTTTACTTGTTATATTTAATTGATAGATGCCATTAACTTGTGTATTACTTATCATTGAATATTTGGACCCTTGATTGTGCCAACGAAGCTAATAAAATAGTAGACTTTAAATAAAGTTGGTCTGTCAGCAATTCTAACATGCTGACATTATTGGATTACTCTGACCTCTTTTAACTCGTTTCTTTTTATTGGAGTTTCTCATTGCTGCATTTCAGTCTGAGTTGTAGTTCGTGAAGTTATTAATGACGAGATTCTTAGTCTTTGTTATCTCCTAGTTTGTTTGGGTCCTGGGAATTCCGATGTTGCTGAAACCTGTTTTTTTATATGGTCACTATGACCATCCGTATCCTTTCTTTCCAAAAATTTTATTAGACTGTCTTGGATGGGATGGATATCACTGTCCTGAGCTCAGCATTGTATTTTTATTTGCCGTCAAGATTGATGCCTGCGCTAATGAAAAGGAAAGGAATCTGTTTGTTTTGGGCAGATAAAACGGATGAGGTCTTGAGAAGAATTTTAATCATTATCTCTTCTAGTAGTAATTTAATACATTGGAGAAAAACAAAAGAAGACACAGGTGAAGGACGGGAACTCAAACCAGGCATACTCATGTATCAGGCAGCCTCTATCCAACGGCATCCCGGATAATTCTTCTTCTTCATTTTCTTCATGGCCTTCTTCAACCTCGCAACACTTTCCCCAGCATCCTGCATCAACATATAAACCCCATACAAGAAGTTTGTCTCTTGCATTACCACTACCAGGATCAGGCTCTGCAAAATGCTTAGATGCAGCAACCTGAGCATTCAGCAAGATCAATATTCCCTTGAGTAGTACCACAAGCTTCCAACAGCACTCCAACAGACATTGTCTTAATAAGCCTCGTCAATGTTTCCAGCTCGACCAAGAAGATTTCCTAGCATAAATGATGCTATGTTCTCGGTTTTATCTCATATTTATCCCGCAGTCGCTAATTAGACAAGGAACGAGGTTTGCTCTCTGGCTAAATGCTAGCTGCACTGGCACATTCTTCGCCCAGTATGTTGTCTTGGCCATGTACCTAGACATTATGCATCAATTCATGTGCCAAAGGATGTTCGCACTGCTAGATGTTTTGGTGATTTACAAATAAATTTAGGAAATCAGTAGTCTATATTTTAAACTTTCCAGAATTATTAATATTAGTTAATTAAGTTAAAGAAAAAACAAAAAAAGGTCTAATCCCAATGGATGAATCAATGGTTAAAAATTTAAAATTTTAATTTAAAAATCTCAAATTTGAGTTTTAAGTTAGGTGAAGAGGGATTTAAGAGTGACAGAGGGCTATTCACTCTTGTATAGCCTATAATCAAATTTACCAAAAACACAAAAGGGTCTAAAACAACAAACATGATTACCCCGCATTGACAATTTTTGCAATCCCAGTTCTTACAGAAACTTGCACAAATACAAATCACAAATAGATGAAAATATTATTAGAAGCAAGAAAGCCATTTGGTAAAATACCATAATCTAGTTCTCCGCATCTAGAAAAAGCTCAACAGTTAAAGAGACCCAATGGCCAGCCTGTACCAAGCAATAACTATAATCCTAATATCTTTCCCCAAAACGGAAGAATAGTGCACCAGTTCCATTGTTGTGATCAACAGCATATTCAGCTCGCACTAAACCTAGCTTGATGCCAACGCCATATGATGAACCATGACCCATTCGCCTGTAGACTTCTGTTGGGTTCCCCTTTACATCTTTTGAACTACCTAGATCATTGCCATGCTCTGCAAATGCATATACGTGGGTGTTTCTCACTGGTATCCTGATCTCAGCTCCAAGCTGCAAGAAGAATAAAAAAGGAATGGCATAAATGTTAATCATTCATCTTATAGTTAGCTTCCCTCATCAACACCCTCCCCTTCCATCTTGCATGAAATATAATCAAACACCAAGTATGATGATAGGAAAAATAGCTTAGAGAATAACTTTCTCCATATATTCTTACCTCAAGAATATTTCTTGCAGCACCTAACTCACCCATGTTATAACCTCTCACAGAATATGGGCCCCCAAGAGTAAAAGCATCATAACTTGGAAGATCACCAACACAACCTCCGTAATGGCCATGAAGGACTAGAACAGGTGGTGGTGGTTTACCAGCACCCTCTTCAACTAGCTTCAACGGGATGAATTGCGTAATAGTAAGCTGGTGGCGGTTAAAGAATGGAAACTTACTGCCAATGCCAAGGCCTTGGTCCACCTTCATTTTGTAAGAAAGAAATGCAGTTAGAAAAAATGCAACATTGTAAACAAAATAAGGGAATTCAAAAAGTTCTCTTGTCCAAGGGGAAGGGAAAACATCATGAGTTCATTTACAATCCTCAACCCCACTATTCTATTTAGAAGATGACTAATGTATCAACCACAAACATCTCCACTAGCCAAAGCCCACATTAAATAATTTTCTTATTACTTATCAGCCATTACCAATCCATGGAAATGACAAGCTATTGTGCAGTTATATCATAAGAACTAAGAAGCAAGTTAGGCCAGTTAAATGACTGTCAATATGATTAAACTTAGTCATTTTAACTTGTATTCAACAAATGCACACAATCCAACACCTACCACATATAAGGCCCGTTTGTCCCATAGAAACATAGGCATGCATCAAGGCCCATTTGTCCCATAGAAACAGGAGAATGATTTAAATAATGAAAGAATCTAAGAATGGCTTGTTATTTATCCTAGAGCAAGGAAGCATAAATCCAGAATGCAATAAGTTTAGGCCCAGTATGAAAGCATATTTCAAAAAAAGCCTATCCTCTAAAGTCTTAAAAGTAGCTGAAAAAGTCAGCAGACATAGCACGTATCACCAATCATAAATACCCCAGCATAATATTTTATGCTAACCTGGAATACATTTCGCCCACCAACTACAGCCCCATTGACGAACTTGGTGTTATCACGCGTGATATTTGCCTGTAAAAATGCCATTCGGTCAACACCAGTACCACTTAGTGTTGTTGGAGGTCCATCTGCACTGATGCCACCACTGGGCAAGACTCTTTGACCATGAGCAGAGATGTGACTACTTTCATCACGGGTTGTTATCTCTTCCATCACAAGACCATAAGTAAATTTACTTTGGCGGGTGAAATTCTGCCAGAAGAGGCATGTCAATTAGAGTCTATTCCACTATCTATCAAAGAACTCTGGTAGACATATCATAGAAGAAGCAATGCTGATTACCTCTGTAATATTTGCCTTGACACCAGCTCTATCAACCCATATTGGGGGGACTTCATCAACTCCCGGCCCACCAGTGAAAACTGGACTTAATTTCCTACTGTTGAAACAGCTTGTGCGGAAGGTGCGGTTTCGTGGATTACTAACACCATCCACGTATGGATGAACATATTCAAGCTTAAAAGCAAGATCATCCTGAAAAAAAGAATAACAAGAACATCTTATGATGCAGATTTATGCTGATTGAGGATAACCAATCTAGTATCCACTAATTGAAGAGCCTGCATGTTTAGGAAAACTTACCTGAGGATTAAAGAAGTTGCTGGTGGTCACTGAACCAAGAATGGATCTATTAAGCCCTTGGAGATTTCGATGCTCAAAGGAGACAGTTCCACCAGGCTGAAGGGAAGCCTGGACAGGGAAAAAAAATACATAATAAGCACACAGAACTCAGTCAGAAATTTCAAATTAAAGCTCCACTAACTAATTGCATGCAAAGTATAATATAGCACCATAATTACATACCAGTGTGGGGCGTCCTCCACGTCCAGGAACAATACTCCATTCTGTACTGACCTCAGCAGACTTTTGGTCAAGTTCTTTAAGCTTTATCTCAACAATGATTCCTCCCTCATTCTTTTCATCAGGTCGAGGGTTCACTTCAATATTTGAAAACAAAGCCAGTGCATTTATGTTCCGCAGAGCTTGTTTCCCGGCTTCTATGTTGAAAACTTGACCTTTCTTAAGCTGTAAACCAAGTCAAACACAGTCTACAATTAGAAGCAATCATCATCAATATTAGAGCCAGCTGCATAAATTAACAACAAAGAAACCTTAGTGTGTCTAATTTATACTAACTAAAGAAAGCAACCGATCATCACAAACTCCAAATTCATTTAAATGAACAAATGCACAAACTAACTAACAAAAGCAGACAATTCCATCCTACATAAATGTCTGTCCATATTAGAATCAACAATCAACCGATCATCACAAACTCAAAATTGAATCTATAAATAAATGAAACAAAATACCATCAAATACCTGTTTAGGCAACTCCCTCTTCACAACAGCAGGGTGAGTATTCCCTTCAACAACATTTCCAAGCTTATCCTGAAACTGAATCACAACCTGTGTAATATCCCCTTCCACAACCTCACAAACCACCTCATCAGTATTCAAGTTCCCAAAATTCACAACCTGGGCACAGGCATACCCCTCATCGTGATACCATTTCTGCACCCTATCCCTGATTCTCTGCAGCAGCCTGGCGCTCACCTGCTCATTATCCTTCAGCATCCGCAAAACTTCATCCCTCACCTGCCTGGTCAACAGACACGGCCTGGCCCTCTGAATCCTCCTCTTATAATCTTTCTCCTGATTCATATAGTACTCCAGCTTCTCCTTTTCAGTCATGTCGGGGTCCATCTCCAAAGGCTTAGATTGCTGCATCAACCCCACATTAATACATCTGAACTTATCTGCAGTTTCCCAAGTGCTCTCGGTGAAGGATATCGTCAATCCAAGCGTTCCATCAGGTTTTGTCTTTCCTTCCATATCCACCTTCTCGAACATTCCGCAAGTGGCGAGGGTTTCCAGTTCTTTCAACAACTGGTTCTTGGTGTAGATCCCGCCGGGCCTCAGAGAAACCATCTCGAAGAACGAATCTTCAGTACCAACGGTGGTCCGTTTATCCTTGTCGTAGAACAAAATGTCCGATAGCTTATACCTCTTCAAGCTGCTGAGTTTATTGAGTTGGACAGCAATGTTGGCGGGCAGGCCGTGAGAGTCCCATTCTTGGGACTGGGTGTCTTCATCCGCAATTGCTGGAGCGGGGGAAAATAATTTCTCCCAGAAGTTGGAACCCCCATCTCCTCCATTTCCACCACCACCACCACCACCACCCCCGCCGAATCCATTTCCACCAAAATTGTCACCACCGCCACCAAAGAGATTTGAAATGGAGGAGAAAGGAAAGAGGAGAGTAGCGGTGGCCGCTGATATGGAGGCAATGGCAAGGGGATTGGCGATAGATTTGATGGAGGAGGAATCATCCCTTGGTTTAGGGCTTTGGAAGGGGAGTTGTTCACATTTGATGGTGGTGGAGCGAGTGGGAGTCCGTTGTGAGGAAGAGGGGAGTCTGTGACGAGAGGAGGAGGAGGGGTTGTGGAGGTTGGAGGGGGCGGCGAAGGCCATGAAATGGTCTCCAGGAGAGGATAAGGGAGGAGGGGACAGAAGTTACTACGGAGTGGTTTAGAGTGGGGGGCGTGGAGGGAGAGAGGGGGTTTATGGGAGAGGCTGCGCTTAGGTGGGTCCGAATTTTGCGAGCCAGAGTTGAACCGTTGTGCGGCGACAACTACTATGTTTACCAACCGGCAGCCTCCGGCACCAGACACTCTCGGCGGGTCGGGTTGGTTTACCATCGGGTTCTCAATCTTTGGCCCAAAAACGTTTCAAAAATTGGGTCAAGTACGTAGACACAAAAACTTTGCCAAGCTAGTGGCCCATAAACACTTTTTGGGCTTCACTGACTATCTCACCATGGGCATGGGAAAGAGGATTTGGAATTGTTTGAACTGAGATGAGAGAAACATTGATTAAATAAGGTGGCACCACATTTCTCTGAATAAGAACTAACATGAGATACCTCTAATAGGGTAGGTTAATGGTAAAAAACTTAAAATTTTAAATTGAAATCTTAAGATAAAAAATGATTTAAGGAAAAGAGAGAGTTATCCTCTTTTGCATAACTCATTCAAATATATAAAAAAAAAACCTGACCATGAGATGTTGATGCTTCACAGAGAAATGGCAATTTTGTTCAAGAAGAGTGTCTAAGATAAAACCAACCTACATTTTAGTTAATTTGAATGTTTAAACAGATGAACTTTCATGTTCATGAAATTTGATGTGTTCAACACTTGGTTTTGATGATTATTCATCACATGATATTTATGGGAGAAATATAACTACTAGTGCAGATGTTTATGTCAAATTTCAATAATGTTTGATGTCTTCATGATACCGGAAAATAAAATGAAGAACATAGAACATGTTTATTCAGATTTTGGTGGAAACTAATAATAAAAATAGAAGTTTAAAAACTCTTATCTATGAAAATATCTCCGTTTTGATTTTTCTTCTTCACTTAACTAGTTTTAGTTACCAAAACTGATGAGATTTTAGGATTCTGATTGGTAGATGCATTTAGTATGCCTTTAGAAAATAACAATGGCTTCAATATTGCTTGCTTAGGGATATATTTTTCATTAACATTTTTCATTTTTGTTGTTAGTTTTTGCAATCATTTCTATATTGAAAATAAAATTTTAATATTTTACAATTAAATATTATTATTAAGTTGAAAACTAAAAAAAAAACTAAGTTTTATTTTATTGTATGTTAATTCATTATTTATTTTGATACTATTATATTTTTTATATCAAAATATGAGTCGCTGTAAAAAGTTTCATGGTGAATTGATGGCAAACTTTTCTTATTGTAAAGAAACTCATCCCACTAATGTTATTGGATACATTTTAGTTCACCAAAAATGGGATTGAGGTACCTTCTTTGATGGATTCAATTGCTTCAAAAACTGAGGAAACTTACCAAACAGAGAAGGAAACTCCTGTCTCAAAGGCATCCGCATCCAGCTGAAGAAGAGAGAGTCAAATTTGCTATTTCAGGGTGTAATTTTCGTGTCATTTATCTTCATTCAGTTGCCAAGTGTAGAAATGAAGTCCAGAGATAACTTCCCATAACCTCCTTTGTGGCATCTGTTTACTGTCCATGCAAGAACACCGGAAACTAATAATGTTCCACCATTGGTGAGAGATATAAAAGTAGAAACCCTAAATCCATCATTTTCAGAAATGGCTCAATCTGGTGGAGAGCATCCTAAAACTTCTCCTATCGCCACTCAAACTAATCAACAGCTTTTTCGAGGTGATTTGCATGATCCTTTAACCTTGATACATTAATGAGATAATGAATGTTTGCGTATGTTATGGTTTGTCTTCTATTTTCATGTCAACTATTTTAACTAGCCTTTTATACAGCCTCTGATTCTCCACAAAAATGGTCACAACAGACCACACCTTCGTTCAAGGATCACAATCTAGAGGACGATCATGGTTACCATCATCCCAAGAAATCAGTTCTTGCGAAAGTTAAAGAGATGGGTAAAAAGTTGAGGCAAAGTCTCAGCAAAAAGAAGCATGTAGATGGGGATAACGATACACCCTCTTGGGGTGTTAGAATTGAAGATGTGGAAACCAATGAAGAGGAAGACCTTGAATTTCTTGGCGCTCCAAGTAATGGCATGAACTGTAACTCTTGAAAATGATTGGCATACATTCCGTTCAACATATTTCTTGACAATCATCCCAATTTAATTATTAAAATATAATATAAATACAACTAATTTAATTTGTTTGTACATCTTATATACATGATGCATCTTTTAAGTTCATTTGTTTTTAATTTCATATTAGGAAATTATAATTTTTTAATGAATATGTTATATAGTGTATTGAACTAAAACGTGTATCAATCACTGTTCTATAACCCTTTATACCCTTTTCATTGAGTAACTGGATACTTAATTATACCCTTTATATCCATGACATTTTATTTGCAGTGTATGAATCTGAATTGGCGCCAGAAGGGTACGACCGTGCAAAGCAGAATCTGAGGGAGGTCACAGCAATCCCAGAGAAGCATGTTTTGCCAGGCCATACCAATCTTGACACAGAACAGGAGAAAGAGAAGCATCCTGGTCAGAACAAGACATTAGCTGAAGCCAAGACAGAGAAGCCAGACCCAGCTTATTCCACAAAAGCAAATACAACTCTGGCTATACCCTCAAAAATTCAAACGGGACTAACTATTTCTGTTGGAGGACCTCCAAAGGAAACTGAGAAGAATGTGGCACATGAAACTGATAATGATGCTACTGAGGAATCTAGATCTAGTACACGTGCTGCATGTAATGAAAATGAGGAGACTCAAAAGATATGGGATAAATCTAGTTTTCCCAGAGAGAAAATATGGGATCAAGGTGTTTCAGTGAAAGATTACATAATGAACAGGCTTGAGCCTGGGGAAGATGAGAAAGCACTTTCTTGGGTGATATCTGATGCAATGAGCCCAAGAAGTGCTGGTGATGTTGTGGGAAACGTGAAAGAAGCTGTGAATTCTCTCGTCTGGAGTGAGAAACCTGCCCAATCTAATAGTAATATCTCACATTCAGCTTCCAACTCCTCAACTCATATTCCTATCCCTACAAATGCTCAGGAAGGTAATCAATTGACTAGTTTTTCATAACTACCATGTACAACCTTGTCATCTGCAATCTTTTTACTTTTTGTTTTTAAGTTATGATGATTCAAGTGTTGGGATGCTTTGATATTGCAGTTATTGAGGAAGAAAGCCATGGAAGAATATTCCAAGCCAACTGAAAACGTAATTCAAGTTCTAAACAGGAGAAGGTTTACTGAACCAAGTTTTCTTTTTCTTTTTCTTTTTTATTTTTTTATTCTTTTATTGAAGCTGTAAAAGTTCATTTGTGTAGGACAAGAAATGTTCAGACTTCAGAGTTTGTATAAGCAAATACTGATTTTTGATGAGAAAGGCTAACTACACCATTGAAAAATGAAAAAGATATGTTGCTTCCACAAAATATTGCTACACAATTTTTTTCTGATCTCAACTTGTTAGTTCCAGCTATCCCAATTCATTCATAGCAGATGGAAGATTGTTAGAAATTTCATCAGGAAAAGAGAGTGTCACATCTGTAGTATTGACTAATAAATTTATTCGGTTAAGGTTTAGTTAAGCACCAAATTAATTTAATTACTATTCTAACCAGTCAACCAATTATTGTTCTAATTAAGCTTATCCAATGCAGTTTGTTATTAAAATATATAATACTATATTTATACAAAACATTCAACAAGAAACTCAAATTTTAGTCACTCAGAATTAGAGGAAGACCTAGTTATAATAAATAAATATAATGTAGATTTTAAAAAAGTAGCAGTAGGAATCATGGTTTAATTAAAGTGATGAAACATAAACAAATCGCCATTGTACCATATAGAAATTGGATCAAAGTTTGGCAAGAGATACCTCCACAAGTTTTTGAGAAGTATATTGGTACTACTGACTTTTCCTTGTCCAAAACCCAGAAGAAAGGAAGTTTCTTAGTGAAAAAGTAAGCTTTGTTCCAGTAAAGAAACATCTTGGAGTCAATGTCAGACAACGTCTATGTCATGATTCACAATTTTTCATCGCTTCCGTTTGTGTGGGATTATGGTGTTTGAAATTCCCAACAGTTTGATCAACATGCATCTTCTTAGCAAATCAATTATAGCATATTTTACGCTGGTCATCTTTTAGGATTCTTGAATTCAAGAATTGGAAATGTTAGCGTTGAAAAAACAGGAAGTCATTGTCTCAAACTCTGAGCCTCCCTTTCTCTCTTTCCTATGGAATGATTTCAAAAAACTTTTGATTCTATCAATGGACACTACTGCAATAGTACTAGGAATTTGTTGGGATCAACCACTAAACAAAAAGAAATTAGTTCAGGATTGACCTTAGCATAAATATTACCTTCCCCAACTTGTGGTATCATCAAAAAAAGACACGCTGTCTATAGGGAAGATGGTGCTCGACCAATAGGCAGTTACAGGTGTAGTAAGTTTCATTTTTTTTTCCTTAATAGATGATGAGAATCATGAATTGATTGTTGAATAGGAATCTTGGAGCGATTTATTATTTTTTAGTTAGAACTTAGGATTTTCTTTAGGCTGTTTGGTAAAAATGGCAATTCAAGAAAATTGGGAAGAGACAAGTGTTAGTGCAAAAATTCCACGGAAATCTTCTGCATTTATTACTATTTGATAAGTTAGATGTAAACGTTTATTGAAACCCACACGTCAATTTTCACGACAAGGACTCTCTTAGAATTTTGGCCGAGGAAGTTCATCTGAAGTTTCAAGTTGTTGACCGAGAAAATGAATCAAGATAAAATGGATGCCATGGGCACATTTCCTCCTAGGAGAACAGAACAGTTTTCTTTCTTTTCAAAATGGTGATTGCTTTTGGATCTTTCTTTCTCTTCTCTGTTTCCTCTTTGGCTGTGATTTCCTTTGCCTTAAGCGATAATCATGGCGAATTTATTTACAATGGCTTCAATGGAGCTAGTTTGCATCTTGCTGGAATTGCAAATATCCAACCACATGGTCTATTGCAGCTAACCAACACATCAAACCGGCAAATTGGTCGTGCTTTCTTCCAATTCCCAATAGAATTCAACACTTCTTATTCATTTTCCACGAGCTTCGTTTTTGCCTTCGTTCGTAAGTCGCAAGACTATTTTGGCCATGGCATGGCCTTTGTCATCTCACCATCTACAGATTTCAGCCATGCTGTTGCAAGCGAGTATCTAGGGCTCTTCAATATTTCAAACGATGGCGCTTCTGCAAACCATGTCTTGGCAGTCGAGTTTGATTGCGTTCTTAGCCCTGAATTTAAAGATATAGATAATAACCATGTGGGGATTGATGTGAACAACTTGACATCCATTGAATCCACTTCAGTTTCTTTCTATTCCAATGGAGAAAGGAAGAACAGACGCTTGGAGCTCATGAGTGGAGAGCCCATACGGGCTTGGATAGACTATGTTGAAGATGAAAAGTTGCTCAATGTGACAGTGGCACCAGTAAGATGTCCCAAACCAAACTACCCTCTCTTGTCGAAATCAATTGATCTTTCTAAAATTTTGTTGGATACCATGTATGTCGGTTTCTCTGCAGCAACTGGTGCAGTTGCAAGTAACCATTATGTTCTTGGCTGGAGCTTTAACAGAAGTGGAGAAGCAGAAAGTCTTAAGATTGCAGAGCTTCCACATCTCCCCAAGGAAAAGATAGCTCAGATAGGAATAAAGGAGTTAGTCTTGTATAAAGTGATTATGCTGCTGATAGTTTTGATTTTTCTGGGCACAATCTGTGGGGCTGCTTATCTTTTCTGGAGAAATAAATATGGGGAAGTGCGCGAAGAATGGGAAAAGGAATTTGGACCTCAGAGGTTCTCGTATAAGACTCTCTACAAAGCAACCAAAGGTTTCAAGGATAAAGATTTGCTTGGAGAAGGAGGTTTTGGAAAGGTTTATAGGGGTACCCTTCAATCTTCCAATGAAGAAATTGCTGTCAAGAGGGTCAGACACAAGCATGATTCAGGAGAAGGAATGAAGCAGTTTGTCTCTGAAATTGTTAGCATGAGAAGGTTGAGACATCGGAACTTGGTGAGGCTCCTTGGATATAGCAGAAGAAAGGGAGAACTGCTCTTGGTCTATGATTATATGCCCCAAGGTAGCCTTGACAAGTTCTTATTTACGGATGAAAAACCAAGTCTGAATTGGCCTCAAAGGTTTCAAATTCTCAGAGGAGTTGCTTCTGCTCTCCTATATCTCCATGAAGAGTGGGAACAAGTTGTACTTCACAGAGATATAAAAGCAAGCAATATTCTGTTAGATTCTGAATTAAATGGGAAGATAGCGGATTTTGGCCTTGCTAGGTTACATGACCGTGGTTCCAGTTCAAAGACCACCCTTCTGGTGGGAACTTTAGGGTATATGGCTCCTGAGCTTACTAGAACGGGGAAGGCAAATATGAGCACTGATGTGTTCGCTTTTGGGGCCCTTTTGCTTGAGGTAGCTTGTGGGAGGAAGCCTATTGAACCACAAGGACTTCCTGAAGAGGTATCCTTAGTTGGCTGGGTTAGGACTTGCTGGGCAAGAGGAGATATTCTGCATGCTAGTGATCCAAGGTTGGGAGGGGCTTATGTTGTGGAGGAAATGGAGCTGGTTTTGAAATTAGGCCTACTATGCTCCCACCCCGATCCGGAAATTAGGCCTACCATGAGGCAAGTGCTGCAGTATCTTGATGGCAATGCCAATCTCCCAGATACTATAACACCAAGAAATGTCGCAAGTAACAATGCTAATTCGCTGGCTTTCCTGCTTCACACAGCTGAAATCAGTATTTCCACAGCCAATTTTGTAGAATCTGGACAGCTAACGCTATCTCCAACTTCCTGGTCTAGTAGCGAGTCAATTCTCTATCGAGGTCGTTGAATCTGTCTGTTCTTCATCACACTGATACAAAGATAAACAGAGCAGCTTTTGTAGACAATGTTGTATATATAGTCATATGCTGCTCCTTTTATGTTGAATTTTCAGAAAAGCTGACTTTTCTAGTCTAGCTTAGCAGAACAAAAACTTTGTAAACAACTTTCTTTTTCTGATTTCATTCACATCAATGTAAGCATGCTTAATTTCACAGTAAAATCAGTATTTTCCTTTTCAGTTCCTTTACATCTTCTAGGGCCGAATCACCGCTACCAGGAACACAACCTACACATAATCGAAGTGAAAAGTCTATTCCCAAATATCTCCAGATTTCCAAGAAACTAATGAGAAATTTGAATATGCCATGGCATTTGTGTCTATGACTATGACCTTGCAATGGCAGGTAGATATGCTTGAAATTTTTGTTAATCTCTCTTTTGACCATATGAAATTATTTATTTTATCGCTTAGAAAATACCAGAGAAAAATATATATATATATATATATATATGGAGAAAAACATTGATTTCATGATTAATTATGCAGATACAAGGTGTCTATGAATATATATGTGCTGAAAAAGTATTTTACAGTTGAGACCGTAATTCAAAAAACTTTATATATAGGTTTTTACAAAAAAAAAAATTATAAAATCAGAATATTATAAGATACAAAATATACAATAAATAATAATGTGAACAGTTTTCTGTTTTTGTTTTCTCACAAGGAATTATTGCATTTTGGAAGAGTTCAATGCATGAAAAATGCCACCTTTTTCTACCTCCGTTTTCTCCCTGAAATACTCCAAGTCCAAAATACGAAACAGCAACCCTTTGAGCTGTACAAATTAAAGCCCTTGAAAATAAATATCAGCCACCAATTTTCAGTAAATGACCGTTGCAATTAACTGACATTCAACTTTTGCCAAACATAACCGACCCCCATGTTTTCTGATTGACCGTCTCTGGTTTTCCAGTTTCGCCTAATCCAATCATCCCTGTTTTTATATATCTTCAATGGAATCCCAACTCGATGCTTTTGTTCGTGACAGGAAAGATATTATCGTCTTTCAAATTTGCATTATCAACAATGGAGGACAACGAGGTTATTTTTCAGAAACAAGTCGTTCCCAATACCAAAACCAAAGTTGGGAAACCGCCCACCAGGCTGCAAAAGCATGCTCCGACCTCGCTTCAGGTTCATCAGGTCGCTGCAAGCTCTTTCGGGTCTTCCAAGGCTGTGATTCCCCTGTTGTCCCCTCTTACTGTTTCGCCAAGGCCGTTGGAATGGGAAGAGTTCAGGTTTCCGACAGGGGATGACAAGGACAATGGTGCAGTAGCGGTGACAGCAATGATGGTTGCAGGAGGTTGGCAGCATCCGGCGGTGGTGGGATGCGTGGAGAATTCAGCTTTGTTTAATTTGTTTCAGTCGAAATGTGTTCTTGTGAATGATGTGCAGTGAGGGTGTTGTGGCTCTCGGGCAGCTGGGTATCATAGGATGATTCTTTCTGTTTTTGCCTTCTAATCCCAATTTCCCAAAGTTAATTTTTGTTTAATAAATGTTGGGTAATCGAGACCTTTTTCCTCTGGCCATCATCTTTCAGGAAAGAAAACACTAATAATCTGTTAATCCATGTTTTGATTCAGCAATCAAACATCAGTTAATGCAAACAGTGACGAAAGCAAGCACCACGGGTGTGAAGGAGAATTTTGATTTCAGAAAAACCATGGAATAGATTGTTTAGCTGGAACAAAAGGCTCGATTTATATGCGATGAAGGGAATTACAAATTCCATCTGGGAAATGGTAAACTTCTTAAAACATGTTTGAGCATCCATTCATTCTAAGGCCGAAAAAGCTCTTCCTTTTTATGTACAATCTCTAGCTCTTTAATATTAATAATAATAAATTAGAAAAATTAACACCAAAAGACAACTCAGATTTGATCTTCTGAAGCAGCTGCAACCCTGATGATGAAGAGGCGTATCTCTAACAAAATCAGAAATCGAAGTCTCCACTTGCCTGCAAAAGAGACAAGCACTTTACTGAAAGCCTTGGATGGTTAATGGCAGGTGCAATATTAAAACAGGAGAAAAAGAAATTCCAGGGTATCAAATGATGAAAAACAAGCCTTATTGAAGAGAATGTCCTTGTTGTTAATATGCACAATCCCATCCTTGAGTGTGCACTTCCACCGGTTCTTGGTACGCGTCACCTGCCCACCAAAACATACATTGTTATTAAACAATAAGACCATAATGAAAATGCGGAACTTCTTCAAATCAAATTACTAAATATCTTAGATGCATACAGCAATATATATATATATATATATATATGTATACATATATCTTATATGCAGCATTCATGCATGTTGCAAGTGGCACCTTGTCAAATTGAGCCAAAACTAAATGCTGTGTGTTCAGCTCCTCTCCGTGGTCCGCATCATCGAAATCATCATCATCATTCTCATTTAATGGATCATCATCATCATCATCATCTGCAGCATCATGTTGAACAACAGGAGCAGGGGTAGCCGCTGGAACATCTGGAGGGCGGAGGAAAATCTACCAAATTAAAAACATATGGCAAAGACAAAGGAGAGAGAAAGAAGTAACTGTGTCTACCATTATCAATATTCAAATAGAAAATCTCAATAAGTAAAATTACCAGGAGCTGGTGTGTTCACTATATTGTAGTCTTCATTGACAACTCCTTGATAATTGTAGATCTTCAAGGCAATAGAAGAAAATTTCAGAAAGAAGAGAAAGGAAAAGTTGATAAATCAAATCTTCAATAATATCCAGAAAGACAAGATCATATATTCAACTCAAAATGGATGATGTTAGCTGGGTGACAAACAGTAACAAAATGAAATCAGCATTCACCCTCTGCTAAAAGAACCTGATTTCAGCTGCAATACCAACTTTTAACTAGAAACATTTTTAAATTTGAAAATTTCAATTCGACACAAATGTCGTGTGACTAGCAAAGTTAAGAACCCTGAGCCTAGTGCCCAACATCAGCAGTATCAGAATTAAGTTGCCTGCCAGTATATGTACCCACTGAATTTGAAAAAGTATAATACTTACATTGGGAGTAGAAAGCATATCCTCAAATGGATCAGGAATTGGCCCATCCAGTTGAGGAATCTTTGAAGTTGACCTAGCCAGTTGTGATAACTTCTCTGTGTCTGCAGTGGCTACTGAGTCACCTTTACCAAGAACATAGCTCCTTTGGCTTACCTGTAAGTTCAGAATTATAGCATTAACAGAAATATGCAGGACAAGGGGTTGATAGAAGGATAAGCCAAGATTATTGTTGATACAAAAAGGTACTGTGGTTTTCAATTAGAATTCAAGTTCTACTAACAGAAATGTATCATATTAATTGTCAGAACTCTCTACTTCCCTAAGAAATTAATAACAATATTTCTGTAGTGGCAAAACAAGAAAATAACGCCCTCTAAATGAACAGTAGAATAAAGCAAACATACTTAGAAGTTAAAACCCCAGAAATGGATAGCCCGCAGAAGATAATGATGTATAAGACATAATCTTCAGAGACAAGGCACATAAGCAATTTGTATCACTAATATCACTATGAGTTGAGTTCAAGCATTCCAACCTAATATAACTCCTTGGCATTCAGTATTTTTTTTTCACTACATTAATTAATTATGGATAAACACAAATACCCAAAATAAAACTTCTGCCAACAACTTTGACCTTCAGTAATGTTCTCACTTCAGAACAGACTGAGAAACCAATTCAATACCAGAAATTAATCAAATGTATACCTCATACTTTTACTCAAACTGTAAAATACAGCAACTGAAGAGGACCATTCAAACCATTTTTAGCAACTAAGCCACACCAGTTGGGTAAATTGCAAAAGGAAGACTAGTTGTGTTACTAGGCACTTAGATCCTCAAATACCCTTATTTCTGTGTCTTGTTCTCACTGAAGCAGAGTTTAAAATGGCTACAACGAACAAAGAGATACTCCTTACTCAGACTCGAGAAGAACTAACCTGTACCGAATTAACCTCAGACATAGCATCTCCAGCTCCATCTTGCTGGGGAATGTTATATCCACCATTGCGATATTGTGTAGCAACATCCTCACGTTTTCTCTTCCCAGAAGACATTGTAAAGAAGTCCTGGGATTTTCTCCAATATTAAAACTAATAACCAACTTCAAGTTAACAGTACATTATCATTCTGAAATCGGAATGGGGGATTTGAGGGAACATTTCCCGAAGTAAGGAAATTAAACCTTTGGCATCCAGAATTATTTGCTCATGAGTTCTTGAACCAGAAAACACAAGAATCGTTCTGCAATTGCAATTCTACTGATTAAAAGTTACCTGTGTCTGGGGTTGATTAGAGGTTACTCTGTCCACCTCATCCCGCCCTTCCACATAAGCTACAACAAAATGAAGTTTATTATTAATGAAGCATAATTGGATAAGAAAAACTGCCGGTTTGACCTTTGACATCGTACTCACCGACATTAACATCAACACTGAGCGGGGTCCTTTGATTCGACCAAGGAGAAGGAGATTGCTGCAGCATGAAAGACAAAAAGGATTAGGTGACTAATAAGACAACCAACATTCAAAGTTATTTGTTTCATATTTGGCAACCAGAAATTTACAATTAGTTTTAGCACGTTTTTCTCATAAGTAAAGCAGTGATAAAGGTTCTGTACAACTAAATTTTCACAAAAAACAGAAGATACATAAAAATCAAGCAGAATTGGACAAAGTATGAATTAAAATAAACATTGCTAAGAAAAGGAACCAGTAGAGAATTGCTTACCACATAAGGGCTTGGCCTTCCACCTTTTCCTCCCTCAGTGTTGCCCCCAGCATCATTCGCAGGAGTGGGATACTCACTAGGACCAGTAGGAATGTTATAAATAGAGTTGTCAGCACTTCCAGGCAAAGGTGTTGGAATTGGAGTTTGCAAAGGTGTCTGCAAATTTCAAGTGCCAACATCAAAATCACAAAGCCCAGCATACTTACACTCAAATTCATGGGCAAATACCCACTAACAAACACTTACAGGAGGAAAAAGCATCTCAGCAGTAGGAGTTTCATATTCCTCCGTCCCTTCATATGGGACATTAAGATCGTGAACGGGAGTAATTCCAGCACCAGTGGTCGACTGCTTCTGAGTTGAAGTTCTGTCTATCGGACCTGATATAAATCCAGCTTGCAACATCTTCATCTCCCAAATCTACCCAAAATTCACCAATAATTCAACAAAATCAGCTCCACTTGATCTCCAAAAGAAACCAAGTCCCACCATAAATTAAAAATTCTAAAACCCTAGTTTCCATCCGATCGAATCCAAAACACCCCATCAAACTAAAAAAACTCGAATTCCTCTTAAACCCATAATCCGAACACCAAATCAAAAAAATTGAAAGCAAAAATCGCATAACTGAACGATTCTTGAAGAAAAAATAAATGAAAAGCGATTACCTCCTGAAGCTCGTGGAGAACACTCTCGCCAGGGCCACCGTTGTTGACAAACTCATCACGGACCTTGCTGATGACGTCCTTGATCACATCGGTGTACACGGTGCTCGTCACAGAAGCGGACATTCTCAAATCTCCTCAAGCTCCTCCAATAATCCTCTCCGCCTGAGCAAACAAACCTCAAAATTTCCCGTAAAATTCAGGAAAACGAGTCAAATAGCTACCCAACCTACGAAATTCCGATCCAGGTCGACGAGAAGGATCGTAGGATTTGCAGAGTGGTTGAGTGAGAGACCGAGATGGAGCTACAGAAAGAGAGAATAGATAGAAAGAAATGAGGAGCGGACGAGAAAAGAAGAATAAAAGAGTGGAATATAAATAGGTTTGGATCCGATTATAAGAAGTGGGCCACGTGGCATGATCTGCATACGTCTTTTAACAGTGAGCTGAGTTCTGTACAACGTTTATTTATTTATCTTTATTTTTTATGTTCTTCCAACGTGACTACATTCATGGGTTGATTTTATACGGGTATTAGTTAGTTACGTTCGTTGTGGTAGGATAAATTAGTTAAAAATATTATAATTATAGTATTACGTAATATTATAAATTTATAATATAATTTAAAATTTGGTATCTTGAAAAATAAAAATAAAAATGGATTTAAAT